CTCATAAGGAGTTGGTGTGAAATGCGCTCACTTCTGCACATTCAATAACATAAAATAAAATATGCAGATGTAGGTATACTTAACAGTATTTACCAGCCCGTGGTCCGGAATTGAACCCTCCTGTTGCCGACACCATATAAATACAGTAGGTCTACTCCTTGTTCCAAAGATTTCTTTTATGTAGTTTTATGAGACATTTAATTATTGATGGATGACACTGTTATTGTGATCGGTAGAGTACCTCACTACAATTTATTAATATTTTATAGCTAGGCTAGATAATGCAATTATAGATTACTGTATTGTTTGTTATTTTAGTTTCGCTCGATAATGACGTATTTCTTTCTAATGTGTACCCTTTTAAATCATACTAATTATAATATAATACATATGTATGTAATTATCTAATAGTCATATTAATTTCACTATGGATAATGATTTCAAATTAGTATTAATGAATTTTAAATATTGTAGTAGATATTTAATAGCGTTAGCGCAGTTTCTGAGAGCTTGTTAAGGTTTATAAATTTAAGAAAACCCTTTTAGATAAGTACCGATTAAGTAAATAAATCTTAATGCCACTTAATAAATATCAATGACTTTTTTGACTGGCGGGCAATTAACATATTGATTTGTTTTGACTACGTAACTAATATTTGTAAAATTTGCTGCATTTTAACATTATTTTTATAATTGGAAAGTCAAAAAAGTTACAATAATTAATTTTGGCCTTTGTCATTGGCACCCATTGGCAGGTCTTTGTTGGCAGCATCCAGTCATACCTATAGGTTATATGAATTATGTTGAAACCTACATTACTTATAATCACAAATTATCAGATGTTAAAATAAAACAGATTAAAATCATCCATTAATGTATTAGTAACTCATTCATACATCAAACTACATATTGTAAGTAAGCAAGTGACAGCATTTTTTTCCAAAACAGACCTAAGCGATCGGTTCTTATTCTAAAAAAAAAGTAATGAGCAAACACAAATTATTATTATTCTACTGCGTCTATCTCGTTTGACCAGCCGTCAACTTTGCGTCGTTGCGTCACATGTTTTCGTTGCACGGAGCGGCAACAACGCCTTTTTCCCTCGGCTCGGCAACACGTTCTCGTTCTGCTGATGTTTTTGATTATGCACATAGCGTAGCAGGGTTTCACATCACAAACATTACTATTAACTAGCGCTAACCACCCCAGACTTTGCAAGGGGGCACGTAATAATAATAAGCCGACATAATATTTTTAACGTGTTTAACATACGACTATGTTTAAATTGTCGATATAAACATTATTCATATTGCAGCTAAGTTATTATATTAATTTAAATATTGAACCCAAATACTGGATTTCATCTTTCACCGACACTGATTTGATTAATTTACTTATAGGTAGGTTTGCAGAAAAAGCCGTAGACCCCTTATAAGCCCAAAAATAATAATGCTATTGGATCTGATCAAATTATAGCGGATGTTCTTTCTATCTAAGGACATTTACCTTTACTTAAAAATTGTCGCCGATATCTGGCAAAGAGGAATACTAGCTAAAAACTGGACAGAATCGATGATACTACCACTGCGGAAGAGAGATCAATGAAGAAATCTTTCTTACCGCCTAACAGGCTCCAACATTTTTTTCTGGTAGATTGGTAAACAAAGCCTCTGGCATTAAGTACGCCATTTGTTTTTTTAAATGCTATAAAGAAAAAATAAATGTAATAACTAAGGAATCCTAACTTAACATCGTATGCTACCTACTAGAAAAGTATTGCTCTACAATTATATATGCTATCTGTATTTGCAAAACCCACAAGAGTGAAAGGTTAATCCCTTTTAAAGCAGAGGGAACTTGGGCACAGCATTTTTATTATTATAGGCTTCATGGATTACTAAAAGGTAAAGTGGGGTACGCGGTTCGCGACAATATTTACGTAATAGTAACTCGATGATTTGACGAGTATGGTATAAATTGTCCAAAATTACTCCAAAACTTTGATACAAAAAACAAGCCCACCCATCACATTATCCCCCATTATTTCAATTTACCCCCTTAAGAATATTTGTTTACTATTAATTTATATACCTTGCATCTTTGATTTTTATACAGGTATGTATATAATCAAAGCCTTTCACGCTCGTTTCTGGGTCATTGTCTTACGTTGTGTGTACCAAATTTCAACACAATTTGCACAGTAGTTATGGTGAATCTAAATCAGGTAACATACAGACATAAAAACGTACGCCCGATGTCCTTTTACCTTTTGAAGTATGAAAACCTAAATATTAGGGAAGTTATATTTTTAAAATCAGTGCGTTTCAGCTGTTCAAGATATACCTTAGCTGTTAAAAAGCTTAAGGTGTGTTCCTGTCTCATTTCCACATAAGCTAATGACGTCACAGAGGCGGATAAATTCAATTAAAAATTTGACGTCGCTAACAACTTCGAGGAAATGATTTATGACCTCAATAGCACAACCATGCCACGATGCCTGCGAGCAAATGCTTCCTCGTATTGTTAGCTCTTCCGGTTTTGTTTCTGTTTACTCCGCGCAAATTTACGAGAGCCGTACTATAGGAATGGGCGATACAAATCTTATATAGATATTGAAACATATATTGTATCAATATTTGATATCGCTGCGCACAGAATCTATAAATATATTTTTAGCTGCATCGATGCGATACTTCGCATTCACTATCTCGTTTGATATCCAATATTCATAGATATGAGATTTTGAGTGAATGAAATAGTAATACATATTCAGATATTCTTAACATTCAAGACCTTAGCCTATTAGTTATGGTTGTTTCCATACTTTTATGTGTATTGTAGCACGTTTTTAATAGCCTTTATTTTGTAAAGAATACGAAGCATACAAAAACGACATGCTTATAAATAAGCATGCTAGTTAATCGCACGCTGCTTTATTTTACCGTACTAAATTAGCAAGTGTGAACGTGACTTGCTTGATTTGTTAGGTATGGTACTTATTTGCGATGGTGTTCACGATGGCTTAAGTTACCCACTGAAAACAGATCTATTCTCACATAGGTATAGTTTCAGAATTTGATATTGAATATCGATGTATAGTTTCGAATCGATATTGTAAAAATCTGATATTACCTACCGATACTTTACAATAAAATAATGTATAAGTGATAGTGTCACTTTGTTGGCTCGAGGGCGCCATTAGCACTTACGAACTGCTTTCTATTTATAGCTTTTCTTTAAAATGAAGTTTTAAAACCTGTACTGAAATTTCCCTCTTGAATCAACCTGTTATACTTTGCAGTCTCATAAACCTTTCTATTATTTATTTACTTGTTTCAAAGTAGCGTTCATACTGTTCCAATATGATCATTGTGTTGACATCACATATTTTTTGTCGGTTTCGGTTGTTATTGTTAAGTTTTGTTGTTGCTTGTTATGGTTGACTAAAATGGCAACGCCTATTATGATTTTCACACTAAGCAAAAATAATTTTACTATAAATAAATATGTCTAGTGTTAGAATTTAATTATAACGTATTAAAGTATCGATTATAAAATGTCAGTTATTTTGACTACACGTCATACTTATAAATTCGACATATGAATTATTTTGGTAATACTTAAAAATCACGAATGAGTTTTTATTATTTATTTTATTTAATACTTATTTTAATTATATATGTTTAAACTCGTTACACTGTATAATAAAATAATTATTGAATAATGAAAGCTAACGATACTTCCGGTGTCGTTAGAAGTTATAAAACGATACCACCGTTGCATATAAAAGTCATCCCGCCAACCCGAAGGAGTTCGTTTTGTAATTTCAGTGAATAAAGTGTCACAGCGATATTGGTAACCACCACCCTTCTGAAGCTAAAACTAATGTCTCTCGCTTGGTTATTACTTTTGGTTGTTTTCTAAAACATGTTCTTTCTGTTTGTTATCGCATTATTACAAAGTAAATGTTATTTTTTCATGTTTTTAATGCCTTTTGTGCTATCTATACTTTCTATTTTCATATGACATTAAGCGGTTGTCGTTATTAAGGTTCCAGCGCATTGGCAATTTATGGGACTTATACCGATGCTCTCAGGCGCACTGCCGGGCAGCGAATTTCATCAACGTTATTCATTTACAATTACTATTTGATTTTCTTACTGTTAAATAACTACAGTACCCCGTACGAACGTAAAATGTATGAATAAATTGCTAGGACAGTAGAAAAACGATCAATGACTTATTGTGTGACCGTTAATAGTAAACGATACGTATCGTTATCCATAGAACTATGTATCGTTTCCGCGGAATACTGTCTATTATTGTACTGAGTAGGGTCAATGTCTTATAGCGTCCCGTATAACAAAATACAATACTCCGCGGAAACGATAAACAGTTTTATGTTCGATGGATAAACGATATTTTCGTTTATTTTAAAGGCACACGTTATATTTTGCATCATTGGAAATTTTTACACCACACCTAGAAACAGTTTTGATTTTCTGTAAAAAAAACAGCGTCGAGCATAGTCACAGAGTTATACCAAGCTTTATAAGTAAAGTATAATGTGTAAAATTTCTTCACTTTGTTTTTAATGTTTTGAGGCTAGCATTTAAAATGTATTGAAGAAATTTGACATATTGTGATAATTTCTCAGTCAAAAAAAATCTGACGTGCATCCGCTGTGTACTACATACCTTTTGAAGTCAATGTTATTTTATTGAACTTCTAAAATATGACAATCGTTGTGCTCGACGTTGCAATCAAAGCTGTTTTTTTTTCAGAATAGGAAAATACCCTATATTTTTTTTTGTCAAGTCATACAGTTAATATAATAACCTATACAAAACGCCCGCATCTTGAGTTAACTTTCGTGTTGGGTAATATCTCCCGCTGCATGACAAAAAACGCAGGAATTGATTTTTTCAAAACTATTGTTTACTTATAATTAAACAGATAATATTTGGGGGGAATTTAAAAATTATAATCAAAACATGTATAAAGGTTCAACTTTAATTTAATTATTTAATGATAGACTAATATTAATCAGACGTTATAAATCACTTATGATACAATAGCGAATCATTACAAATATAGAATCTTAAATATTCAAGAAAGAACTGAACTGCATGTAGAAAAACTAAACTGCAATCTTAGAGATTCAATAATTTAGACTTTTAGAGATAATCTAAACTTACTGTATTAAATAACATTATAAATTGTCACATATCTTAGCCTATAATCAGGAAAACTAATAAATGCTCTTATGTATACTGCCAGTGGCACAAAACGGTAAGCCTGTTACTGTTATTTTTGGGATTATTGCAATGTTTACATCATTATAAAAGTCAAAACATAAATTCGTACCGATTACGGAACATGAGTACAATTTAAATCAGTCTATAACAGATCGACGACTGAAGGTAGATGCTGAACATAAGTACTAAAGACGCATCGAAGCTAATTTCTCACTATTCGGCAAACTATGGTTTGCGTCCGGCGTACCTTCCCAAATCGCCAGCTTGTTGCTTTGCATTATAGTTGTGATATTTTTACCAAAATACATTGAGGGTAGCTTCTTATCTAACACGAACAAAAATCACGTTATCGTCATCGTCCTAAAGAAATCTTAATTGATTCAAAATCTATCTCATCTTCCAAGATCTAGATTTCGATGGAGGTGATATTGAAATGTAATTCTTAAAACCCAATAAGCTTTATTGCGGTCATACTTTTTCGTTTCCACCATCCGTCAAATTATTTTTGATTACTGTTTTCGTTTAAGGGGACTGTCGACTTACTATCAATTGAAGGATATTGTACATTCATGTGCGCCCCCCGCATTATTATATTTGATTTGAATTTGAGTTTTTAAACTCATTTTTTATGTTAACAACTGTACTATTCACATTCAGGGTCTCATCTTCTTCTTCAATCGAGTCATCGTATTCATTCTTAATAGGAACATCGTATTCCTGTGTCGATTCTTGCAAAGGGTCATTTTCCCTCGTTACTTCTACATCGTCTATTGGTTCAATCTTAATTTCAATTTTATCATTTAGATATATAGCGTCCGTGTTCATGTCATCTGCTTCTTTCTTAATATAAACTGTTTCGTCATTCGTAACATGGTTAGTTGTGTTACTTGGGCCGGCTGCTGGTGAAGCTTCATCTGTTTTGGGCGATCTTGAATACCTGTAACAAAAGAAAAACCAATCATATTTCTGAATGAGGATTCATTAAAGACATCTTCAGGGTTGGATATAGATGCCACGAGCGATGAATCCGTACATGATCAGAAGACAAATTTTAGGTCTATTTAAATAGGGACGCTGAAGGCCCCGGATATACGGACGCGCTGATTTGTTACCTATGAACATAGTTATATACGGGCATGATTAGTGTCGTCAATGTTCGTCACTTCGACGTGATTCGGCTTACATAGGCTATAAAAGATATCTTTTGTATTTTATAGCGCAATTATTGTTGATATCACGCTCAATACACTAGTAAAACCGCATAACACAGCTGAACCACGGATATTACATATAATACGTACTGTACTGTCGAACATATACTTATGAGAAAAATCAAACGTTCGACGCGCGGTTGAACGAACTGTTATTAAGCCATGGCTTAATAATGACAAATTTGATTGAACGCAATTGTTATGTAAATGATTTCAAACACATGTGATGAAGAGATTGTTTAAGAACTTGATGTGTTGGGGAAATCCACGTTAGTTTTCTAATAAACAAATTAGCGACTATGGTCCGATGTCTTGTCTTCGGGAAAACTTGCTAAGAAAGACCTTCGGATTTCTGAACTCGGATACCCACATACTATTCTTGGGTCAGTGTTATAAAAATTTAAAACTATTGTTATTCGTTAAATTCTTAAACCTTGAGATGAAAATCCAAATTAAAGCACACGTACAACTGAATAATGGTCTATGATTTTAAAGCTTTTGTTAAATATTAGAAATAATAATTTATTTACACTGTCTCAGTAGTTGTAGACATTTGCAAGTTTTCACTATTCTCATTTTCTGTCTCCATCGTAGTTGAAGTTTGCATCGAGTTTTCATTTTTTTCATTTTCGGTACTGCAAGCAGTCCGTCCCTTAGATTTTTTATTTTGTCTATACTTTTTGGAGTACTCCCTCCAAAGAGTTCTCTGTTTCCCCTTTTCCCCCTCCGACATGTCTTCTATAGATTTCCTCTTGGATTCTGCTTTTTTCCTATGATGATATTCACGATCCTTCGCTCTTTTCTTTTCTTTTTGCTCTTCTGTCAAATTCATTAAATATTTTAGCTTCCTAGATTTAGCTTTTTCCTTCTGTCTTAAATACGCGGTAGAGTTCATATCTACCTTGGTAGTTTTCTTCTTTTTTGGTTTCTTATTTTTCTCGTTATCTGATTCCATTTTAGTGTGCAACTCTGAAAAGAGAATTCTGCTGAGAATCTAAGTAAGAACTACTGGAAACTTAGATTTAATTTGGTTCTACACAAATTCACTTTTCGTAACTAGATCTTTACCACTTTAAATAATTGCTGTTAGAAAATACAAAAGAGGAACTACAATCTAACCACCAAACATGAATCCGACGATACTAATGGCATGATATAACATCGATTACTACGTCACTGCGTGGACCAAGTATGTACGTAGCGGCATAGCGATCGGCGACTCAGCTTATTTGGTTTCATAATCTCAAACTTCGAAAAAATAAACTTTTTATAACGTTCTGCAGTCAGACGTTTCCTTGGTTTGCTCGTCGACTCGGCTACCGAATCTGTATCTTTAACTATTGTCGGTTAGGTTAGGCGATGGCAGTTGATGCGATTGCGGAGAACGGTATTCACATTGGTATTCGCTAACAAAAATATCTTTGTGAGACAGAATATGGCAGAGCTATCGCGAGTTGCCAAATGAGGCTTCGCCCACGTAGATTACATGATTTTGTCTATTTTTTTCCTCTTTAAATAATTTTTTTGATAGTGCTTTCTTATGGGAACCTATGTTATTATATTAGTACTGAACTGAAGAAGATACGCTATTTAGAATACGCTAATGCCATCTGAGATTGATGTAAATTGTAACTGCTAAAAAAATAATGCCTAATATTATACGCCGAGTCATTTTATATATATATTTTCAAACTATATTTCATCACTCAAGAAGGTATTTTTGGCTGCCAAACAATTTTGGAGTGTTATTTTTAATCTGTTTACTGAATTCTTAAGCTACTTCAGCGTAGCGTTCTATTATTATGGCGCTATTAATGTTTTTGGCAAAACGCTAAGTTTAAAATCTTCTAGAAAAAAAAAATGGTTTGTTGCCACCAGTTTCAGATGATATATAATACATACCTTCCATAATTAGCTAAGGATAATATACGACATTTCATTTTCTTGTAAGCGCGTTTCCCCATCCTTTTTGCATTTTGTTTTTTATTTCCCATATTTATTAGGCACTATTGCAGAAGCTACACTAGTCACACGCCATAAATACAGACCTCCTGTCCGGGTACGGCCTGTCTACGAGACAAACAATAGATAGATATGTTGCGCTGAAGAAAATGGTGATTACTCGCAAATTAATCGCAAAGTTTGTTGCGATTATCAAAATATTGTCACCTCGGCTACAAAGCGACATGATTATTAATTTTCCCTACTAAAAAGAGTAAAATGATGAGAAGAAAACGAGAAAATAATGGATTTTTACGTAGTGATTTGAAAAACTTTCAGGGTAATGGGAACCAACCATGCTTGCTCTCCAGAGAAATAGTGCAACTACTAAAGCTACATATAACAAATCTTAAAATTATTTCTAATAAATAATCAATATTTATTTCATATAAATTTTAATAAAATCAATAAATTCTTTTAAATGCTAAATGTGATATGATAATTACTTCATTTCGCATTAGAATAACAATAGATCATAATTACATCCTGTAAAACCCAGTCTTTTTTTAAATTGTTGCATAGTATAATTTAATATCATTTGATCATGCATGAGTTATTTGAGTATTATTATTATATCGCACTCCCGGTGCGACACTGTCACTTATGCAAAAATTTAGTTTTTCAGGAGAAGAGTTTTAAACTCTGCCACATCATAAAACAATGACTTTAGAAGATACAGATACAAAAGTAACATTATCGCACCAAGTAAAGGGGGCTTTAGGACAATTATTACATATTTAACTAATTTTTGTATTTTTTGCAAAAGTGACAGTGTCGCACCGGGGGTGCGATATATAGAAAAAAGAGATACTAATAATTGATTCTGACAGGGAACATACAATAGGGTCGGTACTAAATTTTTACCAATTATTGTATATTTAGGTCTTTATTTTGGATATTTACTAAGCAGCACATTATTTTAACAATACAAATACAATACAATTAATGATTTCATGACAATACGTGTGCGTCATTTCATATTTAACCAAATTTATACCACAAAAGTGGTTTAAACATTGATGACGTTGATGACGCATCAACGTCTCAACGTGCGCAATGATATTGAAGTTGACGCTGTGACGCAAATGTTCTACGTCAGTCAAGGTGACGTATCAATGCCAGTAAATTGTGTACGAATAGCAAATGCATTTGAACATTCTCACTGTCCGATTTTTACTATGGAATTACTTCTTTTTTCAAATTAATTAAGAAAAAAAATTATAACATGAATTTAGAGTATGTAAGCCAGGCCTCAAGACTTTATTAGATTACAGATAGTACAGTGAAACCCGGTTAATTGGGATCTCAAGGGACCAAGGATTTTGTATCATTTAATTTTAATTTAAAAAGGTTTTCATTTATCCAGCTTACCGATTAGATAGGTTCGAAACTTAGTTGTCTTATTTACAGAGGCCCCAGCTTAGTGGTCGAAATGTTTGATTATTCCAATTATAAATGTTAATAAAATGCGTATTTTTGTGTTATGAATTAAGTGTAGGTATGTATTTATTATTAAAAATTATACAGTAAAGTTTATATGCCTTAATTAATTGGTTATGTTTGTTGGCATTTGATTGCTAGTCAATGAACCTGTTCTCAATACAATAGAAATAAAAAAAGAGCTTTAATTTTTCAGATGACAATGTGTTATATTTACTTTTAAACATTTTGTAAATTTCTATTCTCATGTTTGTAGGTCAAAATTTAAGACAGTACTAACAAACAAAGCACGTGCGAAAGAGATTCAAATGTTTGTAAACAATCGTGTCAGAACGTGTATCAACTTGATAACTTGTCTCAATTGTACAGGGAAGCTACTGAGTTCCAATAGGGACGACAAATAATTTTTGTTTGTATATCAGTCAGGTAGATTATTGAAGTGAATATTGAAGCTCGGTGGCGTAGTGGATAAGCGCCGCGGCCCGCGATCGTTGTCGTTAAGCAACTTTCGCAAGGGTCGGTCACGGGATGGGTGACCAAAAAATTATTATCTCGAGCTACTTCGTGCTTCGGAAGGCACGTTAAGCCGTTGGTCCCGGCTGCATTTACAGTCGTTAATACCCTCCAATCCGCATTGGGCCAGCGTGGAGGGTCATGGCCCATCCTCCTTAACCATTCATAAGGAAGGCCTGAGCCCCTGCAGTGGGGACGTAAAAGGGCTGGTGATGTGATGATGATGAAGATTATTGAAGAACATTAAACAGGTATTTTTTCTATTTTTTGCATAATCAATAAATTTGAAGAGTTGAAATGTTGTATGACTCCACACTTTTGTACATTTTCTACAAAAGTGTAACATAGCAAGCCCCCACCCTTTAAATTGACTACCTATTATCCAAGCCATTTTTTGTTACATAAAAGCAAAAAAAAAACGTATCTAATATTTTTTTATTATCTGACTGATGGAAAAAATAGATTCCTTTTTTGAAACTACTCATTATCTCAATATATAATTGGATAACATCAAAAAAATCCTATAAATCAAATCGTATTTAACTAGGTTCGAAGATCCCATTAACTAAGGTAATTCATGAAGAAGTACCAGGACCTCATTGCAGTTTTCAATAATAGAGTTTTCTTAGTTATTCAAGTTTTACTTTATAGAATTATATTATTTTATTACAGATACAGAATAATATAATATTGCATAAGTTGAACTATGCACATTTATGGGTCTGAATAAATTTTTTATTAAAATATGGGTTTGAAAGAATACAACATAATAATATAATTTTCAACTAAAACAGAGATAAATTGTTTTATATGCATTCACTGTAACTTGAAATATCTGTTTGTGACTAGTTTTTCTTTTAGCCTTGTAGTTTATAGTTCACCAAACCTATCTAATATCGCTCATGTGTCCTCCATATTGTAAGTCGTACTTAGGGACAAATTCAGCTATTTCAAGACTTTGTAGACTCCTAAAGTAATATAGTAGCATCATTGATGTACATAGCGACACATTTGCCAGGTAACATTTGTAATTGTACTGGTAGAGTAGTCTGATTTTAATGGTTGAAGTATATTAATTATTGAATGTCACTCAAAAGTTGTTTCGTACACCTTAGTTAGGAAAATAGTTATTCGTTTATACTAAGTATGTGTACTTAGTATAAACGAAAAATAAACAAAATTTTTGGCTATTTACTTGATTAATTCATGCTCTATTTAAGCCACTTACAGAGTTGTTTTCTAACTGCTAATTTTTATCTTTAAAACTACAAAAATTAAAGTCTTCATCTCATCAATAATTTCAGCATATCATAAAGTCCCATTTTAAATAATGAGGAAGGAAACATTTTAGTTTATTTTTATTACAAAATTATATTATACATACTCTCATTATAACGTCTTAGAGGTAAATTTCTTAAATAAATCTATGGGATTTATTGTTAATTCATAAAATTTTACATGGGAGTTAAGTAGAAATAAATGTTACAATCTTGGTCAATTTGTGCTAACTTTAAAAACTCAATTATTTATGTGACATAACAACTGATATTACATTAACAAAAACAGCGAAATGCGGTCAGCAAATCTGAGGTAATTTTTTTTACTTACCTAGCTAATCTCGACTTATATGCCAATGTTCTTTGTCTTCTTCGACGTTTCTTTAATAAAGTAATGTAATAAAGTAGAACTAAATCCTCAATATCACTATCATCCTCTTCTTCCAATAATAATAACACAGGAATTAAATGTTTTGGATTCATCGCACATTCACGAAAAATTCAACACACACAAATTTATTTTTATAAAGCAAAAGGATCTATCTCGTACAGGCTAATATTACACCTGTATAGTGAGCAAGATCAAAATTAATCATTTTGAAAACTGATATTTTTAAACTTCTAATATTGTTATTTTAATAAAATAAAGTTACTTATCAGACGTAGTATTTATTTATTTTTTTATATTTAAGTTCATGTAATGTGTGTATGCGTGTTTTGTATGAAAAAGAATTCACGATAAACCGAAACATAAATTATACAAAATAAATCCTTGTAGAGCGACGAGAACCGGACGAAATGTAATGTAAGTACCTAACTGAACATAGACAACACCAAACATTACATTTCTGTCGTCGCTTCGTTTATAATCCACTGTCCGTTACCTTGTTACAATAATTTTAAATCAGCACTAAAGAATAGTGGAAGTTACTTCACGATGTTTTTAGAAGACACAATACAATGCAATTTATAGGAACCAAGTAGACCTCGGAAATATATTTTTTTGTTTGAATATATTCACCGCTGACAACACCACGTCACGCACCTAGTCGCGACTAGGTGCGTAAAGTGTTCTGTGCTCGCGATATCGAAGGAGCTAAAATGGACGCCATACCTACTGTAAGTATTCGTACTAATGTATTTGGATGCTTCAAAATATCTGCTATTTTATACTTGGTACTTTGTCATGAGTTGTTTACATCCTAGAAGTTTGAATTTTTGATTGTTTTTAGTGAAAGTGAAGGCGCGGTAAAAAGATTTTGTAGTTCAATTGGGAAGGATTATGAAATTCTGAACGAAGAGGATCGTACAGCAGTGTGTAAGCATTGCCGAGAAACATAATCAAATAAATCTGGTGTTATAAATTAAAGAAACATTTGCAAGGAATACACGCAATGGTTTCTGAAGTTGAATCTGAAGATGAAGAGATAATGACTGAAACTTACCTTGAAGAGGAGAGGTGACTTATGTTAATCTATTCTTACATTATAATTAAGTATAAAGCGAGCGTGCCTATCAGAATAAAAAAAATAAAAATGATATTCGATCTTACACATCACAGAAATATTTGTTGCGCATAACTGTATATTTTTGTGAGACTTTAAATTGATGTTCCGCCAGATTGACACCGACTCTTATTATTTTTATTTATGATTTAAATTTGAAATTACCACCGGCATATAAATTCAATAGCCAATAGTTTTGTAAAATACCATTTTTTATGTTTATGATTGAAAAAAATAATAATTTTATTCATTCAAAGCGAACAGATTCGAGAAAAACACCCTCGTACTAGTGTTGTTTGGAAATACTATGAACCTCCAAACAGAGAGGAGCGTACAGCAGTTTGTAAATGTTGCCAAGAAACATTATCATATAAATCAAGCATTTCAAATTTAAAGAAACATTTGCAAAGGAAACATAAGATGTTTAACAAGCATAAATTTGAAGAAGAGATGCTAACAGAAACATACCTCGAAGAAGAAAGGTGAGTCCATATAAAAACCTTTAGCTACCACTGTATTTTCCAACATGTTCCCTATGTATTCCTAGCGTCCCATGATCATTAAATCTAAAATCATTGTTTTAACGAAACTAATTGATTTTTTATTTGTGCTTGAGTTGTGAGAAAATGGTTGTGAAAAACTGGTTTTTAAAGATTCTTTTAAACCAAATGCAATTGTGTTAACTAGGCCATTCAAAATTTGCTACTTGACTGTTATAACAATAAATTATGAAATATATTGGATATAAACTTGTATGTATATAACAATTATGTAGTGTTATATGTATTTGAATAAATTGTTAATTGGTAAGTTGGCCTATATTTTATTTTTTGCAAAATTAACTTGCAATAATCTGTGATGTCAAATTTGAATTAAATGTCAAAGTCTTTGTTTTGATTGCAATTTGTTCTCATGTTTACTGAAATAGATGTCACGACTTCAAATGTCACATTACTGATTGTTTTCAAGGGACAATTAATAAAATCATTTTTTTTCATCATATAAAAATTTTAAAATACTTCATTCTAAAACAGCCAAGCAGCCAATTATTGAAAATTTTAGTATTTCTTTTTTCTGTTGCCAAAATGTTTTGTCTATACCCTGTTTTTCAGGGTGCGCTCAAACAATATCTAACTATAGATTCAAGAATAGTGAGGTTTGATGTTTCTCGAGTTTGTCATGTTATGGGTGCTAGTAAGTCACCATAAAAACATAACTGAGAGGTTTTTTCAACGTTCCTGTCTAAAGGCATGGTAATAATAAAATAATACAGTGTTCTATCATCGAAAACTAGTCAGAATAAGTCTTATTATAACTCATAATACCTACAACGCCTCTTGGCGATGCTTAACAACCTCTTTTTGTGTTTAACGCAACAGTCACGGTTTCGCCGCAGTAAGGAACAAACGTCATGGTTTTTTTTTAAGCATATATCAATAACCATGTGAAAGATTATTGTTTTGTGATTAAAAATCAAATAAAAATCACTGTCACACAAGCGTTCATATTTATACATAACACTACAGATAAAATAAACAAATATTTGATTCCAATTGGCCATCTTCTTTTTTATTTTATGGCTCATTTGCATTTACACAACTTCGTCAATGTTATGTCAGGGACCTTTACACGTAAAGAGACGATTGAAAAAAAAAAAAAATAAATACCCATGTAAACATTATTATAAAAGGGATCGTTGGAAAAAAAAATACAATTGTAGGTTAGTACTTCTTGCTATGAATTTAGATTTAATTCTCGATGGACGACTGGATTACATTTTATCATAGGGAGATTATTAGGTACTTTTATGTAGAGAAAAATTGTGAATTTATTTTAAATAATATGTATTTGCGAAACTGCTGTTAGGCGATGCGCAAAAATACTATAGATCTTCCGAGTCAATGGAGCGATCGCGAATAAAATGAAACTGATCCAAAGTCCCAAATTGAAAATGTTCTCAATTCTCGGCTGCATGGTGACTGTAATATTAATTAATTTTCTGATTTAATAAATTAACTACATGTTGATTTAGGTACTGGTATACCCAGTCGTCATGCCCCTCCCACAAGCCGCAGCAGTTTGCCGGCGGTTTGAAAGGGGGCATAAAGTTAAAAGACTATCTTATATCTGTGAACGGCAATAAGACAGATAGGGCAAGAAGATGGCAAAGTGCTCAGCTAAAACTGTTTTTAATTATGAGGAGTTGTGAAGTCCCTGTTTACGTCATTGCACCTGACAATGCCATTGTCTTAAACCGCGCAGCTAGACCGCCGACTCTGTGGGAATAATTATATAATTTTCTTATTTTTCATTATAGTTTGGTTACATTTTATTTTGTTGTTCAAAATCAATTTAAATTTATTGAGCTTTGATCCTCTTAAACCCCAAGTCTTACTTTGACTCTTGTGGGTACGTAATGCCTATGGTCACTTTTTGCATTAAGCTAAGCGCTTTCTGCCATGTGAGCGTGATGAAACGACTACAGATTCGGCCGTGCATAAAGGCGCATTTTTATTGGTCCGCATGCAAATGTTCTAGTGATTTGTGATACGCATGCCACAGAATCCGCATTTTCTCTATACTCTGAATTTAAATATGTAAACAAACAAATATTAATGTGAAAGTGACATTTTAGGGCTATGAAATTAAACATTTTGTAAATAAAATATTATATGGTTCAAATGTTGCAAGTGCTGTGTACTGACTATATTAACACTAGCTTGCCGCCAGCGGCTTCGCCCGCATGGTTTTGCCATTTTTTATTGCTGCCCTAGTCCTATTAATAGAGCGTGATTTTATATAGTCTTTAGTCTTCCCCAAGAACCAGTTGTTCATGAGATAAGTGCGTTCAACCGAGCTTCATAACAATATTGAAGTTCTTCATAACAACAAGTACATGACAAAAAAAAATAAATTAAAGCATTCGCGAATTATAAAATGACTACGCAACCAATCTCACACTACACTGGACTCTTGGTGCAAGACTCTAGCCTAAGCCTCTATCTAGCACATTCTCTATTTTGTCTCCTGATTAAAGATACAATCAAACGTAATTCTAGTTAAATAGCAAATATAACAAAACAAACTTTTTCGATCACTTCAGCTTTTGGAAATGATTGATTCCCTTCATTCTTTCTTTCATTCAAATATTCAGCAATGATGTATATTGGATTATATTGGATTGGATAAAATTACTATGTATATAATTATAAATTCAAATATATTTAATTCCTACTATGCTCACTAATATGCTGCTATAGCGTTAACGTTTATAAATAATGTTTACTATTGATAAATGTGCTCAAAGATAGTTTAACCACTAGGTTATGTGCTAGTGTTGCAATGTGGCGACAAAAAGTTTAATTAATTCCTTCTATTCTTTGAAAAACATCCATGATTCGCCGGAGATTTTCAAGTATTCAAGAAAGCTATTTGTTTTCAAAATAACATCTTGATGCAAACTTCCAGTCTGAGGTGTGTGACATATACAAGGATAGTTGACTAACGTTCTCTGCACATCTGTTGATCGAAGACTAGCACTGGTCGTTATATCGAATGCGAGAATCACTCGCACGCTGTATATCGACTTATTGACCAATGAAAATGAGCCTTAAATTGTCGAAAGCACGGATGGTTGGGATTGTGTTAGTACGAAAATTAATTACCAATTGAACTCCAGCGATGAAGATGAACAGAAAGATAAACGGAAAACACTGCGTAGCGGTGTTTGGGAGTACTTCATGGTAGCTGATGAGCAGCAGCGGACTGCCACCTGTCAACTATGCAGTGAAGAGTTCTCCTATAGAACCACATCCAGTAACCTATCTAGGCATTTGCAGAGACGACACGGCATAGGCACTGCCTTGAAGCACAGTGACACTGATAATGATGATGCTGAAGATAAGAGGTGAGATGTTAGATTGTGAAGGATTGTAGATGGTTGGTTTAAAGCTGAGCGACAATATAAAAGAGAAAAACATACGATGACGTAAATGAAATAGTTAAAGAAGATGGCATCTCAACAACCATTTTTGATTAATTACTCGCAGAGTATTACGATTATTTTGTAATATAAGTGTTCTGTGAAGTCTTCGGCGACAAGTGAATTATATTTATCAATGTTTTCCCATAAAAGAGTTTAAAGTCTTCTTTACATTTTTACCTACTAATGTCACGAAACTAAAACAAGTTTCATGAAACTAATTTAAGCATAGTTTCGTAGTAATTGTATCAACAGTATTTCTTAGACATTGGCACCGTCAATATCCAAGTAAATTTATTATACGCAAATGGTTTCGCGCGATAGTTTCGCAATAATAATTGCGGTGATATCAGTTGCTCGACATTAATATCATCAAAAATATGCGCATGACACGAAACTTTCATCACATCACCCGTGAAATTGGTAGCTAAATAAATGCAATGAAACTTGATGTCATGCAACTCCATTGTTTCATTTTGTGAGTTTGTTTGCAATAGACTAGCATTAAAGTTAAGTTATGAGTATTTAGGAAATCGTCAGGTTTTTTTTACCCGACTGCGCGACGCAAAGGAGTGTAATGTGTTTATCAGTCAATGTTACATACATAGATTGATAAACACATTACCCTTCTGTTTCTATTTGTTTCTATGTGGCGTTCTAGAGACCAAATGCGTAGGCCGATTTTGATGATTCTTACGTCAATCGATTCGTCTTAACCTTGCGAGTGTCACTAAAGACATTACAGTAATCAAAATTCACTATAGCGACAACCAGACGCCATATTGTCAAAATTAAAAAAAAATTGATGAACGTCGTGTTTTTTTTCTTGAAATTTATTATTATTTATGGGCTCACTTTTGATCTCAATTCAGTCTGGGGCCATGGATGAGATCTAGGGTGGAACTAGCTTGCTCAGAAAGAGCCTATTTACTCTCTCCTTGAATAAATTTGGGCTATATGTTGTCGGGAATTTTGACGCTGGTGGGGAATTCCACAAGCGTGACACAAGAGCTACTAGAACTGAAAGTGTTTTTGGCTCTTTTAATTTTATAATGAATTTCTCTTCCATTTAAAAAAACTAAAATCACTGATACTTATTCTCTATGAATAAATATTAGGAAAAAAATTGTAGCCCGGTAGGGGCCTGAACCAGTATATAGATAAGATCTAATGAAATGACTATATTTCAGCATTGTTCGTAAGCCAAGCAATAGAACGAGCATAGCGTGGGATTATTTCACTATCAAAGATGACATTAAAAAAATAGCAACATGTAAAGTGTGTGACAGCGATCGTTCTTATCTAACATCTACGTCCAATCTAGTGAAACACGTCAGGAGGAAACATGGCATGGGATATTTTGTTGACGTCGACAATGAAGATGATGATACAAATTTGAAAGAGTGAGTGACTATTTGATGGGTCTACTGCTTCTGTGACTTTTTTTATTAGGTTTGTTGCTCTTAGGTTCTGCGCAGACTGGCAGTATTTCGGCAACTGGTGGCCAGTAATAACATCATTATCACGTATTAGGTATACGTAATTCTAAGAAATGCGCTTTTGGCTAAATTTGCTGTCTCACCCAGCATTTATAAAATGATCAGCCATTCGGTTATTTCTGTGCATTTGTTACTGATGGCTGTGTAACTTATTAAGAGCGTCTTCATATAAGTATATATAAACGGTTTTGACACGCTTTCGTATTAGTTGCTGGGGCATAGACTTTTCCTATGGCTGAAATCTCGTCAAAATCGAATATGGAGACTGAATCATGACCCACCATTTGAGCCTAGTGTGGATTGGCGGGTTAACGACTGCAGAGCTGGGACCAACCGCTTAATATACCTTTCGAAGTACGGTGAAGCTCAAGATAATACATTTTTAGACAGCAATCCTATGACCGACCCATGCGAAAGTTTCTGGTCTTCCGCATTTCAGACGCGCTAATGTGTTGTTTGCTATAAATACAATTATCAACGCGCGCATCCGCCTTAGAAATCGCTGAAAAAAAACTTTAAAGGTGATCGCATATGAGAATGGAAAGCACCGAAGGAGATGAAAGAAATAAATTTTAGAATTATTTGTTTATACTAAAACATTATTCAGCTCTGTAAGGTTTGCAATAATTGAAAAAAATTTTTGAGGTTCCGTACCCAAAAGGTAATACGGGACCCTATTAGGTAGTAAGACTCCGCTGCCCGTCCGTCTCAACCGTCTGTTACTTGACTGTATCTCACGAAAGGTAAACAGTTGAAAATTTCACAGATGATTTATTTCTGTTGCATAACAATAGGTATATACTTTAAAATTTTCTTTTGTTGTTTTTAGTTTACTTCCATATAACTTACGTGAACGTGAAACGTGTTTTTTTTTATACATAATGATATGGATCCCTTCGTGTGCGAGTCAGACTCGCTGTTGGCAGGTATTTTTTAATGAATCACCTCATTTTTAGGTCCGATGCAGTATCACATAAACGTTCATCCTTATGGTTATATTTCAAATCTATCGACAAAGTGCAAAACATTGCAATGTGTCTGATATGCAAAAAACGGTTGAGTTACTTAACCTCTATTACTAATTTGAAACGACATCTCACACGGAAACATCCGCACTTACAAGTAAATGGAATCATGAATGTGAGGCTTTTTAAATTATTTATTTAAGATTAGCAATACGATGTAATTTCATCACCAGCCCTTTTACGTCCCCACTGCAAGGGCTCAGGCCTTCCTTATGGATTGTTAAGGAGGATGGGCCATGACCCTCCACGCTGGCCCAATGCGGATTGGAGGGTATTGACGACTGCAAATGCAGCCGGGACCAACGGCTTAACGTGCCTTCCGAAGCACGGAGTAGCTCGAGATAATAATTTTTTGGTCACCCATCCCGTGACCGACCCTTGCGAAAGTTGCTTAACGACTACGATCGCGGGCCGCGGCGCTTATCCACTACGCCACCGAGCTACTCTATTCGATGTAATTTGTCACTTGACAATTTTGGGAAAGTATTTTAAATTTTTTTTAAATTAAACCACTATCAGATTTATATTAATTTAAATTACCCACGAAAACAATCACGTGACATTTCGAGCCTTGACGTTACATTCAATAAACAATGAGTACAGTAGACCAATTATGCCAATGTTTTCTTGACTTTGCGCTTTGCTATTGAACTATCTACCTGAACTTCAATATTATTAATAGATTTTTGAAGAAGACAAAGCACTAATAATATTGCAGGTAGATAGTATAATACAAGTAGTTGCTATTCTATTGAGATGCGATTTTTGATGACGTTGACTTTAAGTTGATCGAAATGTGGCGTCACACGATGCTCCGTCATCATGGCCGTCCACGTTTCGTTTCTTGTAGTCAGAATATAAATCACAAGTTGGTTTAGGAATGATATAATTACAATTTAATTTAAAACAATAAACACTACATAATAGGTTGGGGAAAAAGTTCATATGGAAATTTAAAAAAAAAATAATAAAGTTTATTTACATTTACCTAAAGTATGTAGATACCATTTCGTACGATAACTTTTTGCCATCTTGTAGGGACATGATCCCATTGCTATAGAAATTTTGAGACTTCTGATGAAAAAAACCGCGGCAAGTTGTTTTGACAGTTCTTGCGTGACGGTAACCTGACACAGCCTAAAGAATTCTGAAGAGACCGAAACAGATGGAAATCTGCAGGTGCGAGGTCAGGACTATACGGCGGACGCATTAACAACTCCCAGCCAATCTCTTAATTTTTTGCTGAGTGACAAAATATGTGTGAGGTCGAGCGTTATCATTATTAAAAACTACATCCCTTCTATACTATTAATTCTGACCTCTTTCTATCTTCTTGCTTTATTCTCATTAGTTGTTCGAAGTAGACTTCTGAATCAATGGTCCTGCCTGGCGATAACGGCTCATAATGAATAATGCCACCACACATCACCTTGTTGCGAGTCAACCCGGGTTTCGCCAATCTGTGAAGCCTGACTGACCTATGACCACGATCTTTTTCGCACGTTCTTCTCCTACGTGATCGACTTTTCATCACCAGTAGTTCGGTTTCATTACGTCGTAATAAATAATCACAAATTAATACACTTGTGAATTTTTTGATCACAAGAGCTCACTGAAAGAACCCTAATGAACTTACGAGTAAATTAGGGTTCTTTCAGTGAGCTCTTGAGGTACCCAAATATGCAACTTTTTGTTTACTCAGCTTTTTTCAAATGCGCCAAAACTGTTTTGTAGTCAATCCTCAGTTCTTCCTACGTCTTAACTACCGATAGCATCCATTTTATCCGTATCATGGCAACCGAAGCGGCGGGCATTTTGATATCGAAATTTCCGAACTGAAAACGTTTAAACCTAAGTACGCGGCTTGCGTTGCATTTCATGTAATAAAATTTTAAAAGAATCGGATTTCTTCATTAGATTCACTAATTTTGTCAGTAAAAAAAAAAAAAAATTTAATCTTTTTTTCCATTTTTCAAATTTCCATTCGGAGTTATCTTCTTTAAAATTTAAACTTTTTAATGATACCGAAACCAGCCACATACAAATGATATGGCCAGAAAGATTTTATTACATGTTTATGCATACTATATGCGAAAAGACTTTCCCCAAACTAATATTTATTGTTTACAAATAAGTTACATTGAGTTACCAATATGTTTCATGATTGTATTTTTAAAAATGTCAAGTAGCCAAGGTTACAGATTTATCTTTGAAACCCAATTTTATATTTAAGTGTACAATTTATTATTCTCAGACTAAAAATATGCTATTAGCGAGCGATGGCCAATTGTATGAGATTGATGATAGTGAAAAGCCAGAGGTACTCGATGATAATGACGAAGACGACGATCAGGTAAAATTTTATATGAAAATGTCACAATTTTATAGAGTTAATTATTTAAGTTTGTATGTATCCGGAGGGTAATCTTACAGAGACAACATCTAACTAAAAATACTTTTACAAATTGAAGGGGACAAAGCACACAACAGTCATAATATACCAATTACCAAAAAAAACATAGGTGCCTCTGGATACTCTAATGGATAAGGACTCGGTTCGTCGAATTGTTTTGATGTTAGGTCGGATTTGAAATTGTAATTGCATTGGAGTAGGCTATTAATCGGACGCGAACTAATAAAATATATTTTTTACATTGTTTCCTAACGACATTTGTGTTTTCAGAACGCAGATCCTATGGAAATATACTTAGACGAGGCAGATGGCGAGATCGTAACAAAGAGTACTAAAAAACCTGTTAAAAATTTTAAAAAAGTAGTCGTCGACGAAAGTAACGATAGCTCAGATAACGAGATAACGTTCAAGAAACGATACATCAAGAAAAACAACGATAGCCTAGACAAATTTGGAAAATATTTAGTGTCGTTGCTCAGGGAGCTACCCCAAGCGGTGTCCAATCAATTGCAAGCTGATTTCGTGAAGCAAATAATGAATTATCAGAATAATGAAACCGTTGACGTTAATAATCGTTATGTGACGACAATAACGGAATGTGACGTGGATGAAAAGGTAGCTGTCAGTAGTGCGTCAAACGATGGCGCGTTTATTAAGAACGACAATAGCTGATAAATCTTAATAAACTTGTTCTTAGTAAACACGAGTATTTATTTTCATCGACATTTAATAAAACTACATTAAATTTTCACTGTTTGTTTTTAATCTCGCACAAGTTCACTGCTAGAACTGTGACAAGTATTTAGCGACTTCTACACCCATTCAAAATACTTGCCGTGTAGCGCTTGCACACAAGTTTACATGCACTTTGTTGCCATTTACGCTTGTTTGTGTGCAGAGTAGCTACCATAAAGTTGATTCATTAATTTCTCCGGCCGAATTATTAATGGGTAGAAGGCTTAGGTCCCATTTACCTATTATTACTTTTAAATTAGAAAATAAAGAATTTGAAAAAGTCTGTAATAAAGAAAAATATATAAAAAATAAACAAATGTATCACACAGTTATAAATTCTTTATGAATAAAATGCGTAACATAGAAAGCATCTTGAGAAAGGGATGTAGTGTTGGCAACACTGGTTCTGGCTCTCTCTGCTCAAGATGGCTGCGATAATTATTGGGCTCCTAAGATTGTAAGTTCTTTTATTTAACTTGGCAACTATAAACCCCTTTTGATGACAGTACAGTTACACACTTTTTTTTAAATTACAGAATACCTAAACTACCAAATAGACAGAATTAGGTAGATATGAACCAAAACTTGAATTTTGATTAAAAAATAGGCTTTTAATTTATTCAAAAGTACCTAATAACTGCTACTACGGCACAGTAACTGCATCAATTCATACATATGCCTGTATAATAGTCATTTTAGATACGCACTTAGTTTTATTATTATTAAAATGACGACTGCATAGTTAGAGTATTAAACTAGGCAGATTGAAAAACTACGTTGAATCTATATAGCTATTATAATTAAAAAGTCTAATGCAGATCTAGGTAATTGGTATGCCATCAAATAATCTGGTTCAACTTTTGTTTACCAAAAATAGGAAAAAATATTACCGAGTGAAGATTAAAAGTAAAAAAAATATATATATTTTCTAATGAAAAAACAAACTCAATGTTACAATGCAATGTTGACATTTTTCTTTAAAACTCGACTACTGCTGGAACATTGTATTCCCCATACGTCGATTTATTCACATAAAAAAAATTATATGTCGCTGAATTTACTAATGGGGTTTCATAATGGGCTAAAAACAAGTAACCCGTTGTTGACGGTTTGTATAGTCCGTTTACCTCTATATAGTAGGCCATACTATTACAGACACATAGCTCAGCCATAATTTGCAGAAGGTTTTGAATTGGAGACCGCGTAACGGACGACGCTTGGTGGGGGGTTGCGGGTAGCCGCTGGATCATTAGATGTAGGCAGCGCAGGACCGATCGATTTACGGGGGAGGCCTATGCTCAGAAGCGGGTGTCGTATGGCTGTTGATGATAATAAAGTTGCAGAAACATTACTTCGTTGGCTGGGCCGATAGTGAAGACAGCACAATATTGCCCGTTTAGGAGACTCTGAACTACAAATAAATTATGCACCCTGTTGGTTTTGAATCCCGCGAGCGTAGTGTAGATGCAAAAGATGCAGGATAACCCGATGTAACCTATTTTTGACCGGATAGATTGACTTTGAACTTCCAAGTAGTTGTTTTTTTTCCTCAATATTTACAAATGAATTGCTGTAGTATTCAGTGGCGTAACTATGCGGTTTGAGGCCGGGGGCAAATTCATCGGATATTCAATTTTTTTTTTACTGATTGTGTAATGTCAGGAGTTAGGAGTCTCCTCTGACCGGGGGCCACTTCCAGCTGCGGGCCCATGGCATTTTACCGACTTGCCACCCTATAGTTACGTCACTGGTAGTATTACATCAGACTCCTTCACGAAACCCTAATGACGGAATTATACGTAATTTTGTATATTCTAAATTTTAATTGAATTAAACTTAGTACTTATGTATTGATTTTTTTACTTACTACATAATACGTATTTGTGTATTTCGTCTTCATCTTCATCGATAATATTGTACTTTAAATCAACCATGACAAAAAAGGGTCTTTAAAGGACAATTAGTCAAAAGGACAGTTAGACAAGACTGAGGTCCCAGATTCGATTCCTGGTTCGTGTCTTGAGATACCTTGATAGTTTCAGTTTTCCATAATACTATTGCATATACTATTGGGATGTAAACAATGCATGCGATGTTGTCTTATATTAATATTATTCAAATTAATCTTCTTATAACAGAAGAATGGCGTACCATACCAATTTTCCAAAACTAAAAAAGTCGAAAAACTGCTCTTTAATGTTTAATGCTCGTTGATAGTCTTTAGTAAATATAATGTAATTTTGTTTTTCTTAGACGAAGATACTGACGAAGACAAGAAGGATAACCACGAAATCTGGGGTTACTTTGAACGGGAGTCTGGTGGGCGCGGAAGGTGCGTCGTCTGCTGCGAATCAGTCACTGGCAACGTGGCTGCGCTCACTGCCCATCTGCGTCGCAAACATCCGAAATTGGTTGCCAGCTTAGACAAGGTTAGTAGTCTTGGTCTACTATAAAATATACATACGTAACTAATAGATAACTAATTGATGTCGCGCTTGTTGTACCAGGAAAATGTGCGTCAGTAGCAGAAAAGCATATTTTCCGCGCTGTCCGTCTTCTAAAACCGGCTGTAGACATTGTGTCAACGTTTAAAGCTACTGCATGCTTGCATTAAAAAGCTTAAAGATAAATAGATAAGCAAATAAAATTTATAAGCTTGCTTAAAAAACACATATTTTTTAGCTTCCTGGGTCATTAACATCAGAGGTTATAATTTATATTACCTTAATTTAACCTCCGTAGCCAAGTGTCTAGAGCTATGTCGTGGTCAGATCGTAGAATTGACCAATTCATGTTGCGGCCGGCATTTCATGAAATGGTCGTTTTTCGTGAAATGGAAAAAACCTGTTGCCGACATCATGTTGTGGCCTGGCCAGATCATTGAATAATTTGTGTTTACCGATAAAGGTGGCTAATCGTAGTACGACTGCTTCATGATGTGGCCAAACATTATTCGTCATGTCATAAAATAGTGACATTAGTCTCAGTCGGAGCCGCTGATGTGGCATGTTTTTGTGATACATGATGTATTTTCATTTTTAATATGCAACAAATAAAAGAAAGTAGGGTGACTAAGCAACGGAAAACAATTACTTGATTGAGTTTGTGAGATAATTGTAGGAGTGTAGTGCGAAGGTGCGGCGGCAAAAGCTATTATATATAGTTTTATGAATATATCGCAAAATTATGATAAGTATAGAATTTTGATCTAGCTCCAGAGGATGATAATATGTTGGAGGATATATAAGTTTTTAAGATATTCACACCAGCCCTTTTACGTCCCCACTGCAGGGGCTCAGTTTTTAAGATATGGACTGAAGTAAATTTTCTATAGGATTTACTACTGGAGATCGTGTTAGGTTAGAATGTAATTTTTTTTCCGACCACAAAATCGTAACGTTAGCTAATAATAAGCTATTTCAGCAAATAAATAGTTTTGTTTTCTGGACATCCTACATTAACGATATGACCAAACGTGGATTACCATATCATTAAACGTTGATGCTTAAACGATATGATCAAATTTAGGTAGTCGTTTCATGTAATACAACCATTTCATAAAATGGCCGGCCGGATCATGAAATGATCGATTATACGATATGGTCGCGATATATAGATTGTCATGAGAAACCGTGTCGTAAATAATTTGAGCTTCTTAATATCTGCAGGAATTAAATCAAGAAGAAGATCAAAACCAAGACAATGACGTTTTCACTGAAGTGTTATATATAGAGGAGCCACCTGTCGAGGCGGAAAGAAAAAAAACTGTTGTTAAAGACAGGAAGAGTACGTCCTATACCCTCAAACCGAAGCCTACGTCATCACTATTTTCCAGGAAACGCTCGCGTAGTCCACAAGACGATGACTATCCCCGGAGACGCAACAGTCAAAAAGAAAAATTCACCAAAAGAAGTTCTGACGATGAAGAGATAGAATCTTTTGGCAATTACGTTGTTTGTTTACTCAAAAAATTACCGAGAAACGTGAGCATGAAGGTGCAAAGGGATATTATAAATTTGATTATGAATGCAAATTTGTCTGAAGAGAAAGAATCTATGAGTGTGAACAAGATTATTTTGGATGGTAACGTGATAAGAACTTCAGAAGGCGGTAATTATTATATGATATCAAATTCCAAAAGTGAAGTATCTGGTGGCAAGAATAGTGGCGACTTTACAAGCGGTAACGATACATCAAATGTTCAGAATAATAGTTTTTCCGTCACTTTACCATCTAATACTCAAGAAACCTTAACAGAGTAATATAATAAATCTTTGAACTTTTTTTTTTCTTTAATAGTATGTAGTACACGGTGGCTAGTTTTTACTCGGTCAGTTGCAAGAACGTCCATTAAACTCTAATGAATGTTAAATTTGTATGGGCAATGTCGTTTTATACTAATGACCGAGTTATCATTCTAAAATAAGATATAATTTAGGACTCGCCACGAGATGGTTATTAATAAAATAATTATTTTCAGTATTATAATTGTATTTCTTTTCATCAAATTCTTTAGATTTTGCTGTATCCTAATTTACTCACTGCTTACTTTCAATCACTTTATATTTTACAACATTAATTGGATTGGATCATACTCTACACAAAGCACAACATATTTTAGACTGATAAGTAAATTATCCTTTGCTGGGATTGTTTTACGATAACAGTTGTACTACACTTAAGTAATGAAGTACTTTAGTTGGGCAGATTAAGTAAAACGATAAAAGATGAAGTACAGGCAAATATAAAAGAACATTTGGCTTTTTATTTTAATTCCAACCATTATTTGGTGATGTGGAAGGACAATCGTCTTTCCTATGAACGGAATACGCTTCATTCCGGTTCCTGGAATTCCCATACTTCCTGTTTAATAATACCGACGAACAACCCATTCAAATCGGCCTCGGTAATAAAAATTGGTTTGTGAAATATGCTAAGATCGCAAGTTGTATTTGCCAGTGGG